TCAAAACTTGCATGGAGCGAGGTCACGAGGGGCCTCTCCAAATCTACCACACTGCAACATGTGGTTATTTCAATTTTGCTTTTCTCCATCAATAATCTCAACTCAATGATTACAGACTATGTATGTCTACCATCTTCCTCAAGGATGAGAACTGTGTCTGGCAGAGGTAGACATTCAAACACTGAATAGAATCTGTAAAAGTAATTCCAGAAGTCTTCACCGACTTGATGCCTTCAGTTCTAGTTAACTGAACCAGAATGTTCAAGCTCGCTAGGGGACTGCACTTTCCATAGGTGCGAGGCCAACCTAGTGATCAACTGCTCACTGGCTTTCATCAGAATGAGGGCCACCACGAACCCTGCTATGTATCTTCTAGATCTCAGCAGAATACAAGACCCCTTGTGTCTCTTCTGAACAAGGCAGAAGACTGAGTGTAGCTAAGTTGACAGAGGCAGAGTGCTTGCTTAGCATGCATGAAGCCCTGGGTTCTAAGTCCAGCACGACATAAACCAGGTGTGGTGGTTCCTGCCTGTTATCCCAGCACTGGGAAGAAGGCAGGGGAAGCTGGAGATCAAAGCCATTCTTGGTTTCATAGTGAATTTGAAGCCACCCTGGGATACATGAAATCCCATCTCAAAAACAGAATAAAGAATGAGGCAGAAATGCAGAGGCAGGCAGATCTCTGTGAATTCCAGGTCAGCTAGAGATACACCTGCCTCAAATGAATGAATGAAACAAAGAAAAGGAAGGAGGGAAGGAATCAGGGATGAAAACTATAAAATAGGGAGGAAGTGACTTGGAAGACTCATTTCTCCCCCCCCCCCCAACTAACAAGAGTTTTATTAAGATGAGGAGAAAAGGACAGATGTGATCAGGCCTGCTGAAAGGACAGGTGTGTGGGGGGGGAACATGGGGGCCGGCTTTTAAAGACCAAGCCGCACCTGCCCACACAAGCCTACATGGCTACTCCATGCATACGCATAGATCACGTGTTTGTGCTGCATGCTTTATGCAACCACATAGCCACGGGGTCATGGGTCACAAAGGACTTATGACCCGGAAATAACTAAGTGGGAAGTCTCATTTCTACTTCACCCATGACAAGTCAGTTCTCTTGAAAGTTGAGGAAACTGTCCCCAGAGTGGTCAGAAGGCACACCAATGAAACCTAACCACTCACTAGTACAGGCAATAACTGAGAACCCCTAGAAGTGCTCAAATGATCTCCCGTTTGTGTCTCTGTAAAATGTGCCACCTGCCCAACCATGTCATACAGCAGTCAAAATGGGATATGCTCATTTCCCAAGTCATCCCAGTGCCTGTAGGTTGCTGGTCACAACAAAACACAATCTACTGTTCCTTTCTTGAAGGTATACATGGTCTTAGAAATGAAGCAAAAATCTGATTCATATGATGAAGTGAAAAGCGATACCTGAAACCTAAAGGTACAAACAGGGAAAGCAAAAACAAAAGTCAACTGTGCACCTGAAATGTAATCACAGCTTTTGCTAATTAACATGGGAAATGCCTCTCAAGATCAGAGCCTGCTGTGTACCCAGCGGATTTCACCTCTGGTCCTCAATGTGTTGGCTGACTGCATGTTTTTTCTTAGTGGACACAAAGGTTTTCAGGAGACACAGGCTCTGGCACCCTCAGTGGTGTAACATTGGACAGTCTTGTCATCTGTGTGGCCCTGCAAACCTTGCAATCCTATTGAAGAAGTCTGTTTTCTTAGGTGTGCTCTAAACTGACTCTGGAGAGCACAGAAATAAGCACTCTCTGGACAGGTGCTAATTTCCGACTGCTATCAGCATCACACAAAGTCAGCAGTAAACACTCTCCTAAGAGCAAGCGCAGGTTCCTCACTGTTTCCAGGGAGCTCGCTCACCTCCGTCCTGCAGGTTCTTGGCACGCCGAAGTGTTCGGTAGGTAGCAGCACCTGAGAGCTGAGACTAGGGAGGGCTGGGGGTTAAGAGCACTGGTTGCTCTTGCCCAGGAGCACACTACGGCTCACAACCACCTGTAGCTCCAGCCAGAAGATGTGACCTACACAGACACACAGACACTCTTACACACACAATAAAAAAAAATAAATCTAGAGCCAGGCGGTGGTGGCGCACGCCTTTAATCCCAGCACTCGGGAGGCAGAGCCAGGCGGATCTCTGTGAGTTCGAGGCCAGCCTGGTCTCCAAAGCGAGTTCCAGGAAAGGCGCAAAGCTACACAGAGAAACCCTGTCTCGAAAAACCAAAAAAAAAAAAAAAAATCTAAAACTAGCCAACAAACAAAAAAGCCGAGGTGGGAAGGTGGTGAAGCAGCACTAGGGAGGTAGAGGCAGGTGGATCTCTGTGAGTTCGAGGCCAGCCTGGTCTACAAAGCGAGTTCTAGGACAGCCAGGGCTGTTACACAGAGAAACCCTGTCTCAGAGGGAAAAAACCAAAACCAAAACCAAAAGAATTGTTAGAATCCAGCTGGAGGTAAACAGAAAACAGATGCCTCTGCCACAACCATGCACTTGTTGAATCAATGAATGCAACTTAGTTTACTGGGGAGATACACTGGTGGTTGTGGGCTTCCCTATGGGGGATAAAATGACAGTCAGTAGAATTTAACCCCCAAATAGACATCGGCCTTCATTAAGACCTTTCAATGGAGGAAGAACAGGTCCATTTTCCATTCCAGGATGCTCAGTTAAACCCAAACACCATACCTGCTGGTCCATAAATCATCTTTCTCCCTTTTAAAGTCTACCCTCACTAAGATCTCAGGTTAAAGCTCAGAGCTAACTCTAGTGTTTTCCAAGGTAAACCACAAAAACACTGCAGTAGCCTTTGTTCCTCACTCAGATTCCACAACATTCTCTTTTCCAACCACAGCTTGCAGCAGGGCTCCACGGTCTGTGCTCAGCTGTGTGTGGAGCCTCTGGCAATCCTTGGAAGCCTCTGTTCTGGCGCTGAGACAGGGCTGCAGGAACAGCATGTCACTCTTAGTTACTGCCAGTCCTTCTCTTTACTTGCTTCCCAAACTCTCATTTGCAGGGTCAGGTTCATGTGGCTGAGATCCTGCACATGGGCCAAAGTGCCTCTCCTGCTCTCTCATTCCATCCCTGTCATTCATCTCTCCCTGTTTTCTCCCTTCTCTATAAAGGGAACACATGCGTGAAAGTATCTCCGCCTGCCTGTTTTGTTGACACGCAGCCCGAAGGAAGAGTGGGGAAAAGCTGGCACTGGGAGCACTGGGAGTCAAGTGCTATAATCTGGATGCTGAGTGACCCGACCCCACGGCCCCATGGGTCAAAGGGGGTGCTATGAGAAGCAGTGAAACCTCTGGGCGGCAGGGCTTAGGTCATCAGGGGTGTGGCTTTGAAAACTGGAATCCTGGTCCCTTTCTTCCTTTTGCTTTCTAGCCACGAGATGAGTGGTTTTGTTATACCTACACTCCATACCATTGCTACCTGACGTCTCTAGCAGAAGCCTAAAAGCCATGGGCCCACCCATCTATGACCTGGAACCTCTAAACCCACAAGGTGAAATAACCTTTTCTCTCTTTACACTAGCTAATTTTTTCAGGCATGTTGACACAGAGAAAGAAAGCTGACTAATACAGGAAGTTCAGGAAGAGCAGTAATGACCTACAATTCTGTTTGGCTTTTACAATAAACATCCTTTCTACTTAGGAATGCCAGAATTCCAGCAAGACCAAATATGTAACTGTGCTTAAGATGTTTCTTCTTGGGGCTGGAGAGATGGCTCAGCAGTGTGAGCACTGACTGCTCTTCCAAATGGACCTGGGTTCAATTCCTAGCACCCACATGGTGGCTCACAACCATCTATAACTCCAGTCCTAGAGGATCCGACAGCCTCCTCCCTCTGTGGGCACTGCATGTACATGGTGCACAGATGCAGGCAGGCAAAACATCCACATACATAAAAATAAATCAACCTTTCCAAGAGGCTTCCTCTCTTCCGGCACATCGTGTCTCTAAAGCAGATAGGGTAACTTAAGGGAGAAGGCTGTCCTCTGGCTCAGTCCCAGGACAGTGGAGTCACAGACGCAGGAACCTGAGACAGGAGCCCGTACTGCACCGGCAATCAACAGAGAAGAGCTGGGTGCTGCTGCGCTGCTTGCCTTTCTCCATCCTATGCAGCCCCAGACGCCTGCCAAGGGGATAGGCCCGGTCGCAACTTAGATGGGACTTCTTCCCACACCAATTAATTCACTTACATTAATCCCCACAGGCATGCCCAGAGGCCATCAGCGAAAAAACACAGGGTGTTAATCAGATACTAGGGAAGCTGCTGTGGTGGGGAGGCTGGACTTGCACAGGATACCTGCTGGAATCGGTCTTGCTCTCACAAGTGTGAAGACATTCATAAACAACGAACAAACCTTAGGAGTGATGAGAAGAAAGAACGGCCCCATCTGAGGTGCGTTCTGTCTTTTCCTACACCCTGGCAGTTTCCAGCCCGGGTGTTCTCAGAGGTGACTGACCACTAACACAGCCATGCACCATCTTTCTCTCGCTCTCTACTTCTGGCTCCTGGGATTCCCAGGCTCTGCTTTCCAGGAAGTACCAGCCTGGAAGAAATCTTTTCCAACATGGAGGGTTGGCCATCTGCCCCAGTACAAAAACTTTCAAGGATTAGAATGTTGCTTCAGTATCACCTCCCCCATCCATAACGGATCAAAGAGGGAAACACCTATGTGGATTGGCATTTTAGGAAAAAAAAATTAGAGTCAAAATTCCCTATATTCACTCCCTCTCTGTGGAACTTTTGTAAGGACTCGTCGCTGGCTCTGAACAGGCCACACTGTGTCTGAAATGGTCCAAGTGCTAAAATGCACCATGCATACATAGTATTTACTTTCTGTGCTCCCCCGCAGGAGCCCAGGAGAGGTGGGTAACAGAATATTTTCCAGAAGTCTGAAAACTGTTGAGCAGTTCTGGGGGCTGCTCATCCCCATCCTCCAGCTGACATTGCAAATGCAAAAGATTCACTCACACATCGTTGAATTCCTCCAGGGACCTTGCAGGTGTAAACACGTCCAACAGACCGATGACCTGCAAGAACACATAGAAATGAAACAGTAGGAAAGCAGTGGGCTCCTACAGTGCCCATTAGGTCTACAGTGTAAAGAGGACTAAGTCCAAGTCCAGTTCCACCCGTGTGCTTAGTCATGACTTGCTACTCACACCGCTTCTGTTTTATACTTGTTAACATCATTTCTTTTGGGGGGTTGGGGGTGTGAAGACATCGTCTCATATGGCCCAGGGTAGCTTGGACTCCTGATATTCCTGCCTCCACCTCTCAATGCTGGGATTACAGGTATGTGCCACCACCGCCAGGCAAACCCACTATTTTTTTAAGGCCAAATATTATCTTAATATATTCATCTTATTGCTATGATAGTCTCAATAACCTTAATTAGCAGGTATTTAGATCAAATGATTTAAAAACAAAGAAGAGCTAGCAGCAGCAGCAGTGTATGCCTATAACCCCAGCCCTTTAGAAGCGAAGGCAAGGGGATCAAGGTCATCCTTGGCTACTGCTTTGAGGCCAGCCTGGGCTATGTGAAACCCTTTGTCAAGAATAGAGTCACACAATTAATTCATACTAACAAGCTTCCTGAAGAACCTACTTTTAGCAGCAGTCTTTGAAACAAAGCAAAATTAAATCATTCCTGTGATTAAAAAAATACAAGAAACAGGAACCTGGAAAAGACAACAGAAAAGCATGCTTCTCAATTCCCCACCAAGTTTTAATACTTGTGCTGGCTAGTTTTTATGTCATATTGGGAAGAGGGAATTTTAGCTGAGAAAATGTCCCCATCTGATTAGCCTGTGGGCAAATGTACCTGTGGGTACATTTCACTGATTGAAAATTAATATGGATGGTGCCACCATGGGATGTTGGTCCTAGGTTCTACCAAAAAGCAGGCTAAGCAAGCCAGTAAACAGTCGAACTAACCTAGAAGTCAATCTTTAGAAAGGACTTCACAGCAAAGATCTCTAATTCTACAATGGTCCAAAAGTTGTCAGTCTGAAATAATACATTGTTACTAAACTTGGCACCCAGGTAAGCAACCTCTTGCTCTTCATAGTAAGATCAGACCCTGGCTCCTGACACAATCTTTGAGGATTTGTTTTTAAATTCAAGCTATGCAGTCCCTGGAGACATAACCATGAAGACAGCCTCTCAGTAACTGGCCCTCACAGCAGGTGCATGAGAGCAGGGTTGCAAGTTCAAGTCAAGAACAAGCCAGCACGCCTTTAATCCCAGCACTGGGGAGGCAGCAGAGCCAGGAGGATCTCTGTAAGTTTGAGGCCAGCCTGGTCTACAGAGCGAGATCCAAGACAGGCACCAAAACTACAAAGAGAAACCCTGTCTCAAAAAAAAATCAAACAAAAAGAACAAGCCAGCTGACTCTGCTTAGAGTGACCTGAACAGTCACAGAAGACATGCTCTAGTTCTGGGTACCCACATAGTGACTGTGTCTGTCACTTGCTACCATAATTAGTTTTTTGTATAAAAGAATGGATATTTGTTACGCCCTCTAAGAGCTTGGTTAGCTTGGTTATGGCTATTGCTACTCTCTTTGGAGGCCAGGCAAACTTGCTGGAAGTTTCGTTTTTTAAAAATATTTAGAGTGTGTGTGTGCACATGTGTGCTCGTGTATCCGCAGAGGCCAGAGGGAGGCACTGGATCCTCCAGAGCTAGAATTACAGGCAGTTGTGAACCACCCAATGCAGTTGCTGGAAACCTCTACAAGAGCAGCAAGTGCTCCTGGACTCTATCACGTCTCCAGGCCCAAGCCTTGGTTCTTCACTGCATAAAACTGTTTTTACATTTTAAGTGCCTAACAGATGTCTGCAGGGTAGTCTGAGAGGTGAGACAAGTTCCACATTAAGTTTAAGTCTTCTGGTCTTTTCCCATCTCCCCTTCAAACATGTCAGTAGAAAAGAAAACTGAGACATTCAACCAGCTTTGTTAAAAAACAAAAACAAAGCACAGGACCGGAGTGGCTCAGTGGTTCCAATCCATAAAGGACTACACGGTGGGACCCTGTCACAAACCAACCAACCAACCTTTAAAAGACGGAACCACCAATACCTGAGTATAGGGCCTTTGCTACTAGAACCTGACCGTCCTGATAAACAAAGTCAGAGTGCTGCTAACAACAGCACACATCACCAAAACCCATCTTCTAGGGTCGCAGAGTGGCTCAGCCATCCTTCCAGGGGACAGAGTTCCGTCCTCAACAACTGATCAGGTGTCTCACAAGCATCTGTGACTCCAGATCCAGGGGATCTGAGGCCCTCTTCTCTCCTCGATGGCACTGCACACACGTACATGTACCCCCACAAACATGGATACAGAATTACCAAACTTGTAAGAAATAAAACTCCATATTTCTTCAAAATTTCTTTCTCATCATTTTGTGTGTATGGGTGTTTTGCCTGTACATTATGTCTGCGAACCACGTGGGCACAGTGCTAGCTGAGGCCAGAAGCAGGAATTAGAGCCCCCGGGACTAGATTCACAGACCACTGTAGGCCTTTGACATCCTATACACACGTGGACATACACATACCCACAAAAGAGAGAGATACATACAAAGAAAGGTACCAGGGCTGGAGAGGTGGCTCAGCAGTTAAGAGCACTGGCTGCTAGCAGCCAGGTTTGGTTCTCAACACCCAAGTGCTGGCTCATAAGCACCTGACTCCCGTTCCAGGGAATCTGACATCTTCTGGCCTCCAAGGGTACTGCTCCCCATGATGCACATAAACTCAAGCAGGCAAACACATATTACAGAAACTATATATAATTTTTTTAAATTAAAATAAAAAATTACGTGCGTCTTAAGATCCTGAACTAAAACTACAACTCTGGGAAGAGGCTCCACCATCCTCTGGTTTGACCTGAAGGCCCCATGGCACAACACAGAACACTCAAGCAGCAGAAAGCGAACCCCACCACGGGCTACGTGTCCACCACGTGCAGTGATGCTCACAAAGCCCCGTCTGTGCAAGGACAGGAGTGACTCACATTCTCATGTTTCATGTGCTTCAGCAGGCGCAGCTCCCTGTAGGTCCTTTTGGCATGAATGATGGACTGAAACGGTCTCGACAGCTTCTTCACGGCCACACGATGTCCCGTCTTTGTATCAAAAGCAGCACTGGAGGGAGAACAAGAAAAAATCCACCATTAAACGTGCTCCAAATACTACTTCTAATACTTCCAAGGCTACTTCATTTCCAAGTTCAATGTGTGGCTGGACACAAAAAGAAAAACAGAAACTAAGATAAAGACTATAACAACTCATCACCCACTGCCCAAGAGGCCTCCAATTTATTCTTGATGCTTCTTTCTGTCTCTTCTGTATTTTCCAGAGAGGAGCAGAGTAGTATTTTAGACTCTCCAGACCCTAGATAAGGGCCCTGAGACTCAGTTTGCAGTTGCCTGAAAGCAGCCAGAGACTAAGAGCCTACCCAATGGGTGTGGCTATGCTGTAATGAACTCATGAAGCCAGGCAGCCACCCGTGCAAAGGAGACAGCACGGGTAACCTCTGTATGGACCCTGTGCCCAGGCCTCCCTGTCACCTAGCTACTAGATGTCGGTCAAAGGGAAGGACTCCAACTACCCTGCTTTCAGGAGAATGAGCTCTTCCAAAGTGGTGGGCACTGCACACACCGAGGTACAGTGGGAAGCCCCCCTGGGGGGAGGAGTGGCAGAGAGAATAAACACTTACAATAGTGATGGACACAGTGACCACAGACTCAAACCCAGATGGGGGAACAGCACCATGACGCCAGCGCAGCGTCACCGGTACAGGATGCTGAGCCCAGAACTTTCCCTTACTCCAGGAGTCCTCGTCTCACCCCAAACCTATATGGATCCCCACGTTACACGTTAATTTGACCTGCGTAACACTCCTGAATTTCCCATCTTCCTTTCTGCACCTTCTCTACCTCTCTGTGGAAGCTAGCTAACCAGACACGTCTCACACAGTCCCGCCATCAGAGGGCGCTCTCTCTGCAAGGCACTTTGCTGTAGCACAGGTGTCTTCACATCATTTTAAAACCACTACTTCCCATTTGCTTTCCAAAAGCCCCTGCTTGCTATTCTGAAAAAACTCTCAGCTCTGCTGCTGTTATCTATTGCCTAGAATTTTCCATCACCCACCAAAAGTCTGTCCTATCAGCAGAGTAGCCCTCCATTCCCAACTTCTGTCAACATTCTTGGCAACTGCAACATCCAAGTGGAGGGCACATCCGACGTCCTGTTTCCTGACCTCTCAGGAAACTCCACCTCATGCAGCCACCTTCGGGACCACTCTCCAGCCCGCCTACTTTTCAGGTTGCTTTAGTCTGCTCCACTTGACTGCAGCTCTCTCCTGCCTTCGGTCCCCTAATTCTCCAACAGTGATAATCACTCCCCTGTTTGTCCCCTTCCCTTGGATAAAGCCTAACCCCGGGTGACCCCAACCACTTAATGACCTATGTCTGAATCCAAGGAACTGTATTTGAAGAAAAAAAGAATGCACAATCAGACTGGTTGAAAATTTTAACTTCGGCGTTGGAGATTTAGCTCAGTGGTAGAGCGCTTGTCTAGCAAGCGCAAGGCCCTGGGTTTGGCCCTCAGCTCCAGAAAAAAAAAGTATGTTTTTTTTAATTCTGAACATAATTTCAAATACGCTCTAAAATAGTGCCATTTCTTCATAAGGGCATTTCTCCTCTAAAATAATCACTTGACATTTTTGCCCCCAGCTGCCCTTGGCCAATGTTCTCCATGGCCTCTCTTGCTCTAAGGCGTCCCCTCTGATCAAAACCCAGACTGACAGTGTTTTGAAGCCGTCCCACATCTTCTCAGGGATATCCCTCTGCATCCCCTTCTTTCTTTGTAATACTGGATTACATTATTACACTATTTATGTGTGCACACACGGGGGAGGGCAGGGATTCGGGGTGCGGATGGACAGAATGACAGAGACAGGCTGGGAATTGAATCCAAGGATGTGGATGGTAGGCAAGCACTCTACCACTGATTTATAAATACATCCCTCTACTGGGTCACTCATTTCAGAATATGCTCTAGAAATTCCCCATCTCCATTAAATTCCTTTGATGACTCCCCACCATAGTTAAAAAGTTCTCCACATTCCCAGGGTGTAGGAAGCACTCATGTTAGCCTCACCTGAGGATTTAGGAAACGGAACACCATCCTAGAGCTGCACATCAGAAACTGGAGAGGTCAATGGGTTTGTATTTTCTCAGACCCTCATGCACTGCAACAAGAGCTCCTAACCTACACCTCTACTGTTCAAAGTGTACTCTGGGGACCAGAGGCTCTGGCACTGCCTGTGAGTACACCGGGAAGGCCCAAGTTCTCAATGATTCGTCCAGCTCTTCAGTTTGAGAAACACAGCTCTAAATAGGGTGCTGTTCCCAGCTCCCATTCCTCCTTCAATCCTGCCTGCTGGAACCTCTGCTCTTCTCAAGTCTACTACTGGCCTGTCACCAAGCACAAGGACCACTTCTCTGGATTAGCATCTGGCATGGTTACCACTTCCCCTTCCTCTTATGATCCCTGCAGACATTCATAGGAACATTTTTACAGGTTTTAGGACCTTCTCTGCACTGTATACTTCTTCAGGGATGTCCCAGACCGCCTTCTCCATCTCCTCCTGAGGACCGCCTCTACACCTATGTTCAACATGGAATGTCCTCCACAGGCATGTGTTAAACACTCGATTCCCAGCTGGTGACACCACTGTTTCTTTTTGTTACTGTTGTTAGAAAAAGTCTCACATAGCTCAAGTTTGCCTTAAACTCACTATAAGGCTGAAGATAACCTTGAACTCCTGATCCTTCTGCCCTCTACCTCCAGAACACTGGAACCACAGATGTGCCACTGGGTCTAGCTTGAGAGAGTCTTAAAAATTTAGGAGGTGAGAGGGCCCAACCAGATGGCTCAGTGGGTAAGGGTTGGGCCTGACAACCTGAGTTTGATTCCTGGAACTCAAAACAGCAGGAGAAAACCAAGCGAAAAATGTGCTCACCTTCACCCATACACAAAAGAAATATAACCCTTTTTTACTGTCGTTTTTACCTAGGAGGTAGAACTTAGCTGAAGGAGGTTGCTTGGTTGGGCATCTTATCAGTTCTGTCCCCATGATGCTCTGCTCAAGTTTAGTGTCCAGGCAAAAACAGACTGAGCCCCGTGCAAAGGATTTCAAGTAACCTTTGGTCTTTAAAGTACTCCTGTCAGGCCTTGGTCACAGATGAGAAAATTACCTACACAGCCCAAGTTAACTGCCATTGATAAACATAAGACCGACCCCGACCCCCTCTTCCTGAAACCTCCTTACTAGGTGGCTGCACAGCAGGCAGTCCTGGGGAGAGACCCGTGAGCACTGAGGACTTCCACAACTGTCCCCTCTGTCACTGTTACACCAGGTGATGTCCATCCAGTTGCTCCAGCCAGGCCAGACATTTGAATGTCACCCTTGCTCAGCGGGTAAAGGGGCTTGCCACCAAGCCTGATGACTGGAGTTCAATCCTACATGTTTGTCCTCTGCCCTCCACACTTGGGCTTGCTCTCCCGTCCCCCTCACACACACACAATTTCAAAATAATAAATAGGGCTGGGCTGTGGTGGTGCACACCTTCAATCCTAGCACTCAGGAGGCAGAGGTAGGCGGATCTCTGAGTTTGAGACCAGCCTGGTCTACAGAGTCAGTTCCAGGACAAGCAAGCGCTACAGAGAACCCTTCTCAAAACATAAGTAATATAATAATAAATAAATAAACAAACAAACCATGATTATTTTAAACTGAAGGAATTTCCTTGGTGTAGAGGATAAGATGCAAATTTTCTACCATGGCCTAAAGCTCAGATGAGATGACCTGATCCCACTGTTCACCCAATCAGTGGTCTCCATATGTGCTCATCCATCAGGACCATGTCCTTCCCCCACCCTAGGCCTACTCTGGGTGTACTGGCTTCTTTCAGTTCCTTAAACTATTTGGACAGGCTGCGACTAGAGTTCTTTCACCCCTAACCCCACCCCACCCCACCACTAAATCTTTATTCAAGTTCTGGTTTAGTCACTCCCTCAGAGAGTACCTACCTGGCCTGAGGCAGACACCCTGTGAGCCTTCAGCCTCTTACATTCCCTGTGTTTCCATAAACCCCTAAGAAAACAGCCTTCCTTTTTTCCACTGTGTGTAAGTCCTTACTACTCTTTAAACTAAGTTCTCTAAACTGGTTTCAAAGTGGGGAAATGGCCATGGCACCTACATGATGTGGCTTCTTCAACTTCCGCCCAAAGTGTCCTGCCTAATGCAGCCTTTGTAACTGTCCTCTCCTGGGATGAACCTGTGGGGAGGAGGGCAGGCCAGCAGGAGTGACTGTGTGCACAAGTTGAGTTCAGCTGGGGAAACACGACAGCTGGACCATTACAACCAACCCACCAGGCTATTCTGCAGCTGGCTCCAGAACAAGGGATACAGGTTCTGCCCATCTGACTCCAGTAGCTGGCCAGTGGATGACAAACGCTTCCCCGGGACCCAGCAGCCCCCAGTAATCACAATGATTATTGTATGTTTATTTACCACCCACCAGGTAGTTAAACAAGGGCTGGGCTCTGGAGGTAGACTATCTGGGTTTTAATACCAACTCTGCCACTTAATAACCGTATAATCTTGAGGAAGTTAATTAAATTCTATCGACCTGATATATAAAATAAAGATGTTTGTATCTATCTAATCTAAGGTACTAGCTTTTATGGCAGCTTTAACAAAACCCTAATTTTGTAAAACTCAAATATCAAACATTAATAATGGCTGCTACTGCCACTCACCCTGGGCATCTTGAGGGCAAGATGTGCATCTGTTTCCCTCACCATCATGGTACAAAGGACTTATCTTAATTCCTGGCACGCAGGACATTCTCCAGGACTGCTTAACAAAAAACATAGCAGAGAGTATTTTATAATGTAGTTATTTTGAGATAAGAAAGAAAAGCCTCAGTTTCCTCAATTGGCTCTGAACAGTTCCCTCAGGGTTGGACACACACCAGACAAGTGCTGGTCAGTAAACTGAGCTGCACACCCTTTTCTGGGTTTGTTTTATTTTGAGACAAGGTCTTGTTAAGTTGTCTACACTGGTTTGAATC